ATAACACACATACACATATGGAATTTTGATTTGAGTGAAAGTTTGCAAAGTAAATTGGTTTTCCATTCAGCCACACATGACTTTTTTTATAATTGTAGTTACAATACCCATGATATAGTCACACTCTTCTCACTTGCTCTCCGTAATTTTTGTATCCATGATCCTTTTTCCCTCCCCCTTTCTGTCTTGAGGGCTATATCCTTGGGTAAGTTCTTTGGACCTTATATAGTTGGCTGTTCTAAGAGTGCTTCCTGTTGATACTGTGCCCCTTGTAGACCCATTTATTGTTTGTGGAAAGTGGAGATATGAGGTGAGTTGTTCTAACTTTGAAGGGTAGTTAATCTTGGGGGTTCTACCAGTTTCTATAGGGCCAGTTAACTAGACCTTTTTTATATATTTTGGGTTTGGGTCTATGTTTTCCCCACTCTATCAGTGATCTTCTTTTGTGATCCCTTATAATGAGCAGTGACAGTTGGACGTCCTCCAGTTCTTCTGGTCTCAAGGTTGTAGAAGTTGAGGTTTACATGGTCCATTAGCCTTTGGACTAGTTGTTTCTATACAGCTTTACTTTAGAGTATAGGTGCTGGGGGGAAACTAAGAAAAGAGGGGATAAATAATGTATATGACATTGAAACTATAACAATGAAATAACTTTTTTTCCAAAGAGAAAAGTGAACTGGGTGGGGGGAGGGAATAGGGGCAAGGGAGGATGATGTGCAACAATGAATGAATGGAAATCCAACTTCTTTATAAACTTAAAATATCAATTAAAAAATCACTTTAATAAGTGAAAATATTTTGCTTAGTCTCTTTGTTACTTTCCTAAACAAGTCCAGATATGTGTAATTTATGATAATTCCAATCCAATCCACAAATAATGTTTCAGAGTGGATGCACTTTTTTTGGTACTTGTATACTGTGATTTTTTAAAAAGTAGTATGCTTCTGTTTTTACATTAATGGTCTTACGCAGTATTTGTCCTTATGAACCTGAGTTCGTTCACCCCTTTTTGGGGCAGAGATGAAGTAGTTTCACACATAAAAATATAAGTTTATACATGTGTTTTTACCATTTCAACTTAAAAAAATTTATATAGTTGTTGACTGGATCCCTGGCAGTGCAGTACTTGAAGCATACAACTGAAAGATCATCTTTTCTTAGGAGAAGATGTGGCTGTCTTTTTCCTTAAAGTCTTACAGCCTTGGAAGTGTTACTGTATTCTACAGGCTCACTATGAGTAGGAATCAGCTTGACAGCATTGACTTTGGTTTGATTTTTGGTCGTTGATGTAATATGCCAACCCAAAACCGTGTGGTTAGAATCGACCAGCTTCTCTGCAGAAGAATGATGGGCAGTCTCTTCCTATGCAGTTTATAGCCTCTGAAAACCTGCTGGAGAATCAGCTGTGAGTTGATTTCCTGGTTGATATCACATAACAAGAAATCTATCATGAAAAAAAATTGAGCAAAATGGTTAAATGAAGGGGATGTGCAGGTTGCTCACACATTTACTTATTACTGTCGAATCAGAACCAACATCCATTGATTTTTCAAGGCAGTCAGTTGCATGAGAGGAGATTGCCTTTCTCCTTCAGATCCACTGGTATGTTTCAACTTCTTGAAAAGTGTGTCCCTTAGGTTAACAGCACAACTCTGATGATTAGGCCACTAGAGTCCCCAAAAGGTTACATGTAAGGTAATGTTACTTTGGACATTGTAAATGAAAACATTCCCAATTTCCGATAGATTGGTTGGGACATGACTAAATGATAGAAATGATTTATGTACATAGTAAAACTTTCATAAGAACTGTGAAGGGGATTTATGTGAAAGAGCAGAAAACCACAAAGTTGTGGGAATATATACTTTTAAAATACCCTGCCAATTTTTAAAAAGAAACTTTCTAGCTTGATTATCACTTTAAATTTTATCTTGGGTTTGAAGAAAGCATCTAAAAATGGTAGGTTCTACCACAATAATTGTCTTAATTCAAATATCACGTAAATAGACTCCAAAGAAATTAATACTTTATAGTTTTTATCAGGCAAGATTGCAACCTCTTAAATTTATAATGGGTTTCTGTGTGTTTTTTATATAAACTTTTAAAATACTTTATTTCTAGCTGAGAATTCCTCTGGACAGTTAATGGTGTTTATCATTGTGCCCCGTTTCTACAAATAAACTATGGGTGGATTATTTTCTCGATGGAGGGTAAGTTACTTTTCATTATTGCTAGTCTTTAAGTATAACATAAAAATGTCCCATAAAGCTATTTGTAAAAGTCTCCTTTGTAGTATGAACTTAAAGTAATTGTTTGATATTATCATCAACTCTATTTTTCATTCTTTGATTCTTTTTTGAATTGGTTTTTATTTTGACTTTAGTTTTTATAGTTTCATTTGTTATATAGCTGTCTAATGTCTCTGCTTGACAGAATTATTTCACTTAGGTATTAATTTTCTTTTTATATATTTCCATGTTTAAATGGTTATTTTCCCCCCTTGTTCTCATACTGTTTTTTATTTGCAAAGTGGTTGAAACTGTATCTTTTTACGTAAAGCTTTCCAGAAATATGTATGGAAGTAAAATAATAAGCATTTAGGAATTATAAGTTGGACAAATCTATATCACACTTCAGAGATAGAAATGCAGTTAGATTTTATTTGATAAACTTGTAGGGAAATGTCTCAAATGTAGAACTAGAAAATAAATTACAATGGTAAATTATTTTGGTTGTTTTTTGAATGCATATTACCTTGAGAGTGTAATGTAGCAATATTTGTCACATTATTTTGGATTGTGTCTGAACTATAACTGGATTCCTTAATTTTAGATTGACTTTATATTGACCACCTTTCCCTTCCCTCAAAACAGACATAAAACTCAAAACCACCAAGCCAGATAAAAACCCTACTTCTTCCTAAAGATCATATTTACTTATCTTCTTGGACCAGGAGGCAATCATCAGAACAGAGCAAGGAAACACGGCATGGTTCAAAATCCGGAAAGGTGTACATCCAAGATGTGTCCTATCTCTGTACCTTTTCAATCTATATGCAGAGCAGATTATTCGGGAGGCTGGGCTCTATGAGGAGAAATGTGGCATCAGGATTCGAGGAAGACTCATCAACAGTCTGTGTTATGCAGATGACCCAGCCTGCTTGCTGAAACTGAGGAGGACCTGAAGCACTTGCTGCAGAAGGTCAAGGACTGCAACCTTCAATATGAATTGAAGCTCAACATGAAAAAAAAACAAAGATTCTCACCTGTAGGCTGGATTGGTAGCATCATGATAGATGGTGAAGAGATTGAGATTGTTAATAGCTTCAGTTTGCTTGGCTCCTCAGTCAACACTCTTGGTACCAGCACTAGGAAATTAAAAGGTGAATTACATTGGGAAAGTCTGCTGTCAGAGACCTCTCCAAAGTACTGAAGAGCAACAGTGCCTGTCTGGAGACGTAAGATGTGACTGATCTGGGCCATAGTCGTTGCAATTAATTGTTATGCATCAGAGAGCTGGACAGTCGCTAGGGATGATAGGAGAATTGACGCCTTTGAGCTGTGGTGTTGGAGAAGGGAATTGAATGTATCATGGACTGCTAGGAGAACTTTATCCTAGAGAGGGTGAGATGAGGCTGAACTTTGGAAGCAAGGATTCTGAAGCTTCATCTGACATTTTTTGGACATATTGCAAGGAGGGATGGAAAGGGATGTCATGTTTTGAAGAATGGAAGAACAAAGCAAAAGAGGAAGACCTTGGACAAGATGGGTTGACAAAATAACTGGGATAATGAGGGTAGATGTGTCAGAGGTAGTGACATTGGCTCAGGATAGGGCAGGATTCAGAGCTATTGTGCATAAGGTCACTATGAGTCATAAGCAACTCTATGACACATAACTGCAATAACACTAAGATGTTATGTGCCGTTGAGTCACCTATGTGACCCTGTGTACAACAGCCCTAAACCCTGCTCTATCCTGTGCCAATCTTATTGTCTCTGACACACCTACCCCCATTACCCCAGTCACTGAATCAATCCATCTCATCAAGTGTTTTCCTCACTGGACTGATAGGCAACATCATGATAGATAAAGAAAAACATGAAATTATCAATGACTTTGTCTTACTTAGATTCACAATCAACATCTTTGATACAAGCAGTCAGAAGATCAGGAGACATAGTGCATTAGGAAAATCTGCAGTAAAGTCCTCTCCAAATTTTTGAGGAGCAGTGATGTCACTTTGAGGACTAAGGACATAGTCTTTCTATCACTTACCGTGCACTTGAGAGCTAGAATTAATGAATAAGGATGACAGAAGAAGAACTGATCTCTAAATATCCCATGGGCTGCCAAAAAGACAAACAGACATATCTTAGAGAAAGTACAGCCAGAGTGTGTGTTGGAGACAAAGCTTTGTCTCACTTAATTGGGCATATTAGGAGAGGCTATTCTAGGGAGACAGACAGCATGTTTGGAAAGGTGGAATGTCAGCAAAAGAGAGGAAGACCCTCATCCAGGTGGACTGAAACAGTGACTGCTACAAAGGACAGCATTATATATTAGAAATGATGAGAATGGCACAGGCTTCGGTCTGTTGGAGAGGATAAGATTGGCTTAAGATAGGGTAGAGTTCAGAGCTAATGTGCATGGGGTTGCTATGAGTCCCAGGTGACTTGATGGCATATAACAACAACCACAAGAACGACATAGTGAACTTGATACCCTTGTTGATTGGTAAAAGGGATTTGAATATAGTAGGTTAAGTATTAGGCTGCTGAAAGGATAGCTGTTTGAATGAACCTGCCAGCTGTTCAAATAAGGAGAAAGATGAGGCATTTTACTTCCTTAAAGATTTATAGCTTTCAGACTATTCTCTCC